GTCCACTGCCACTACCGGCGTCGCTGCTGCTTCTTCCCAGGGATTCGCGGTGCTAACATTCCGCCGGCGCTACAGCAGGGGACCTTCCTCCTCTCCGACCGACGAATATCAACTTTCCCACACACACGGCTCTTTTCAGGGGAGAGCGATTCGCATTCGAACACTTGCAACCTCTGTCGTTTCGCTCCGCAGTCCTCTGCTCTCTGGAGCGAAAATAGGTCGCGAAGAGGATCGTTCTAGGGGGCCAACGATATCCCCGATTGGAAATGCTCGGATATTTTTGATCGGTGGATCACTTTCCCACAACAGGCGTTTCGTCGCCCCCACGCTCGGTTCCCTTTTAAAGAGCGCGAGCCCTGGCATCCTTCAGCCGTGAGGCTGAACGAGAGGGAGAGACGAGATGGCTCGCGGAACGAAGCGCGGGAACGAAGACGGAGAGGAGTGGAAAGAACCGATGGACCGAGTGGCACGGAAAGCTTTTTCTGAAATCACGGGACCCGTCCTTACCTCGCCTACCCTTCTCCCTTTCTTCTCGTTCGTCTTCTCGCGACGCGCAGTCGGGCATCAATAATTTAACGCCCTGTCCTACCGATAAACCTGCACCGCTTCTTTCACCGGCCAACAACGAGGAAAAGGAAGAACGAGAAGGACGACGGAGAGGAAGAAGAGGAAGAAGGAGTAGGAGAAAAAGAGGAAGAGCAGGAGAAGAGAGAGAGGAAAGGAGGAGAGAGGCGCGCTGAGAAAACTGAGAGGGAGCAGCGTCGTATCGCATACGAGCAGAACAGAACCACCGTGTGGACATCGTGGATCAACCCGAGTTTCTTACGTCCGTTCGGTTCGTTCACATATAGTCAGTGACGCGTCGCTCTCTCTCCCTCACCCTTTCTCCCTTTCCCTTTCCCTCTTCGATTACAAGCGACAAGAAGCAGCATTACACGAGACACGCCGCGCCGACAAATCGACGGATTATGCCGGACGAGCGCCGACCCACCGGGAATAAATGAATTGGCTAACGACGCGAATCCTATCCTTTCTCGCCCTCTCTCTCTCTCCAACTCTCCCGCTCTCCTCCCGCGGCTCTCTTTTCTTTTCACCTTTCCGTTTCCTCGCAGAGCCTCCCCAACATCGAGAGAAAGCCGCTTTCGACGAAACGAAGCTTACCAACTGCCCGCGTGCAACGCGCGGACACATCGGGAAAGGAAGAAAGATTCGCGGAGTCGACGAAAGTATAACAGAATCGCATCGATCGGTCGTGTCTTTGGTAAAGCGGCTAAGCGAACCACCCGTTACCCACGGACTGGCGTAGCCCATTAAATACTCTTACGCAATCCGTGGGATCCGATAAATGGGATATGTATTACCCTGCGACGTTTCCGCAGCCGTACAAGTACCGCCCGTGATGTAGATGGCGAAAGATAAACTACGGAACGGACGTTCTACGGGTCGATGTGATTTTCCCGAAGGAAGAGAAATCTTCCGCGGTAAATTTTCACGATGCAACCCTGATGAAGTGTGAATTCGACGGGGGGGATCGTGAAAATTCGCGGTTTCTTCGTTACGATAGAGGCGGGTTGCAGGGTGGAAATCCCGCAAGTTCTCGGTGGTACGCCATACGAGCCTCTCGCATCGCGGTTACACGGTGGCAAAGAACGAATCGGTACAACTGTACCGACGACTCGTCGATTCGCGCGAGAGATTCCTAGGTAGGAAAAAAAGGGAGAAGGAGGGAGAAAAAAGCCGCTGTTCTAAATTGATCGTTTCGTATAGAATAGCAGAGGAGTGTGGAAGGAGTAAACGCGATGATTCGTAACGAATCGAACGCGATATCTTTGGAATTCCTGGCGTAGTTTCAGCCGTCCCTCGTGGAGGCTTTCAGGAAGCGAGCTACTAATTAGCGATTACCACTCGTTCACGCGGCACTCGAGAAAGAATATAATTAGCACTCACCTTTGTGCCGATGCGCCGTGAAGCCCTCGACCGGCCGAACCTGGCCTCTCGTAAAAAATCCGTAGAGCGTTCTCTTCGAAGAGTCATTCTCGACCTTCTCGTCGTTCGAACAGATGGAAAGAGGTGCACACCGCCCGGTCCTGCTTTTCCCGCGAGTGTGAAGAGGTACGCGACGACCTCTTCGTGTTTGCCGCTGCATCGACGAGCACTCTACTGTCCTGGAAACCACAAGAAAATTAATGAACTTTTTGTCGCGCTGCTTACACCGGGATGCACCGAATGCCGACAGTTTGTTCGCGAAGACTCGATCGGGAACCGTTTAAATTTTATTCTACGATCCCCCCCCCCTCGTTTTCCTCTTCACGAACGATACGTGTATCGTAAAATCGATATGTTTGTTTCGATAATTGCCTTCGTTCTACCGTATCGAAAAGCGCGCAACTTTTCCTCTTCTCTTCGTCCGTCCAAGCGGAAAACGAACGAGTAATTGTCGCGCGGTTTCTTTCACTTTTCCAGACTAGAAGAAGGAACGTCCGAAAATGAACGACTACGGATACGGCAGGAGAAGCGGGAAAGAGCATAGGCGAGGAGGACGCAGAGGCGACGAGGACGACACGGAGGATCGAAGAACGAGTACCCTACAGCGGCTGGACAGCGTACAAGATCCTGGGAAACGTTATCTCCTTAGAGAGTGCATAGGTTCCGGCGTCTGTGGAGACGTTTACGAAGCGATCGATCAGCAAGCTGGTACGTTTCGTACCTTGCAATTCCTCTCGAGGCAGCGTGTATTCTAAAGAACGGTAAGAAACGTTTGTACCGTTCTAGGAAACAAAAGAGTGGCGGTGAAGGTGCAAAAACTCACGGCCGAATCGCAGTCGTTAATCATCGAGGAGTACAGAGTCCTTCGAGATTTCGCGTCTCATCCGAATCTTCCAGACTTTTACGGAATATATCGTAGAAGATCCGGGAAGAAGACGGAATACGATCAAATATGGTTCGTCATGGAGGTAGGATTTTCCATCGATTACGAATAGAAATAATCTCGAACGGACGATCTTCGCCCGTGGACGTACGTAGGTGTTATTTACATGGAACGTTTATATCGCGGTTGAACATCGATTGTGAGATACATCTGTAACGCCACTCCTCTCTAACATCGTAATTCTCCGGATGAAAGGAGAAAAGGGAAAAGAAAAGCCCGCGAACAGACACGGCAGAAGAGAGGAGCGAGGGTGGGGTATCGGCTGGGGGGGTGAGGAGAACGAGAAAAAGAGAAAGAGGGGAAAAAAGGAGAAGAAAGGAGGGAAGAGTTGCTGTACGTAGCCATGCCAGGACCCGGAGGCAATTTCAAGCATTTGAGACGGTCGAATACACGGATAATTTACGACACGCGCGGCCATTAAACAATCATTAAACTCGTTCGTGTACGCAGGTGAGCCCCGGCACGTCGCGGCCCTAATTTACGGGTGGACCTCCACGGTGCGCCCGAAATATTATTACTTATCTCGAGCAAACCGTCGATATTCGATTTAACACGTACGCGTGCACGTTCGAAGAACGCGTCTTTCACGGGCCCGAAATACTGGCGACGTTCCGTCTTTTTTTTCTTCCACGAACATTCTTTCTCTCGGGAAACGGAATCGTCGATAGAGCGGTGCCGTAGAGAATTATACGTAGCGATCGAGACTCGAGGACGAAGAACACGGGCGAAGAAACAGGAGTAACAAACGGAATAACAACGATTTTGCAAGTCCTCCTGGCGGTGGAACGGGTTGAAAAAGAGGGAACGACACGCAACGACAATGTGGCAAAGATTTATCGCCGATGGTGTTTCATATCGTATCACGGTCAGGTTTTACGGACGCGTACACAAACTGTGTCCGGTAGATGAAGTGTTCGTGCCGCGCTCGATGGGTCTTCTTCGCTCCGAAGAATGCATCGCGTGCTTGCTCGGTCCTCTTAAAGCTCGGACGAGATACATACTTTGTACCGCGTCCTACAAATTCTCCTGAAATTCTTACGAGAATGATCCGGTAGGGATTGGAGGTAGGGACAGGAAACTGTTAACGTCGAAGAGGCTAGATATCGAGATCACGGGCAATTACACAAGATCGCTTGGAAAATAATGAAAGTTCGCCTGGAACAGTCTATTTAAATTGCTTCCGCAATTTCGCGGGCAATGCCAAGCTATCAACGGGACGTACGAAACGGCGATGCAAATCGGAGATTGCTTTCTCCAACTGTGATTAGGACATAATTTTAACGCGGAATGCATACCACGGGGAAATAACCATTACTCTCGTTGTACGTTTTCCAGCTTTGCGAGGGTGGACCAGCGATGGATCTGGCGCGGGGCCTTATAGCCATGGACAAGAAACTGCGCGAGGAACACATAGGGTTTATCTTGAGGGAAGTGATCAAGGTAAATGTCGTAAAACGGATCGATTATACGTAATATCGTAGGATAAAGCGTGAGCAAACTGCCGCGGCAATTTGTTGGCATTGAACGTAATTCCGCGATGCTCAGATATACATATCTATGGGCGCTCGGTAACTTTGGTCTATAAAATCTCTCTCTCCGCGAGAGAGAGAGAGAGAGAGAGAGAGAGAGAGAGAGAGAGAAAGAGAGAGAGAGAGAGAGGCGGAAGACGAAAGCGACGATGCGGCAGAAGACGTTATTATAACGTAATTGTGTCCGATGTCTGGAGCGCGCTCGGTGTGATTGCGCTCGACATAGGCGTCGCGAGTCCAGAAGTGCTTTCTGAAATTGTCCGAAGAAAAAGCGTGAAGCGGAGAAGGAGGCGGAGAGAAAGGAGTAAAAATGTTGTTTGGTAAGGCGGACAAAGGTAAGGAGCTCTGGTTTGTTCCGTAACGCGATCCGAAAGTGGTACGTGGCGTTAAGGTAAAGGAGTTGGGTCCCTCGCGACCGGCGGACTCGGTAATTCAGTCGGCGTTCACGTGGTCGGAAAATCGGAAGAAGACGATGGACCGCGGAGGAGACGCGCGTCAATGGGCCGCATTCTACGGCGTATAAATTACAAATAAGACAGGCGAGATGGCTCGCTAATTAACCTGCTCGCAAATGAAAGGCTGCCCGCTCGTTCGCGCAGCAATCTCTCGACCGGCGCGGCGCAAACACTTCCGTCCCATTCTCCTCCGACGCGTACCTGCGTGCTTCTCTCTGTCCCAACAGAGAGAAGAGGTCCGTGTGTTACAGTCAAGGACAAAACTCGTGATCTCGCGAGAAGTGGTGTACGCGAGCTTATACGCCGCGCCGGTAGAGAGATAGAAATGGAACGAAGGTAAGGTGAATTGCAATCGTTTCCCGCTTCGTGGTCTATAATTTCACTAGGAAAACGATTCGGCCGGTCACAATGGGATAATGTTCCGTAATTCCGTTCCCTTTCCTCGCTCTGGGAATATAATTTACCGTAATATCGGTACGAGACGTTTCTCCGACTCTCCGCGTGCCCCGTTCTCGGTCGCGCACTCCGCACGGAACAAACGAAGGAAAGCAGGAGGAAACGATTAGGAAAAATGCACTGGACACCGGAGTGGACGGGTGTCATTTATGCGTCAAACGGCTGCAACTTGATCTCGGCGCCGAGGGTAAAACGCGCGTTTCCGTTTCGAATCGTGCGTCGTTTCCCTTCCCTACGCGATACCACCCGGTATCTCTTTCTCCGCAAAAACACCGGGACCCGCGTAAAATCGATGGGTTCTGCTAATTATCTCCGCCGTGAGAACTCTGCGAACCTTCGATGAACCCGTACGCCATACCGATACTTCCTACCTTCGACTAAACCGCCTGTACTTGCAACAAACCTTGCGCCTCGATCTATCCATCTACTTACATCGATACTCCATCTATCGTAAAACCTCGAAAGACGTATCTATCGGAGAAATATCCAGGCATTTTCGTATACACCGTATAACCACGCACACGCATTGCCCGTCTTGGCATCCTCTCTCGCAAAGTGCACGCAACCCCTTCTTCTCCACCTCGGAGACGTCGCCTTCTTGTTCGCGTTGGTACGTGTTCCATGGACCCAGTAGCGATTCGTCCACGGTCGCTCGTGCGGTAAATCAGGCCACGTTGACGTTTAATGCCGGCAAATTACACGCGAAATAAATGCTCGCGAAGAACGAGGTATAACGGTGTCTGCTGCTCTCGACGAAATCGCATATCGCGCCGCGGCAGAAGCGAAGAAAGTCCAGGCAGAGATGTTTGAACGGATTGGCATGGTTCTCAGGCGGTGGTTTATCTGCACGAGAACAACGTGATGCACCGTGACATTCGCGGCAACAACATTTTACTGACCAAAGAGGGGGAAGTGAAGCTGGTCGACTTCGGACTGTCGAGAACGATCCAAGGTGAGATGGGAAAGAGGTACACGTGCATAGGATCGCCGAGTTGGATGGCGCCGGAAGTCGCTATGAGCAAAGGAGCCAATTCCGACAGCGGATACGGGAATAGAGCTGACGTCTGGGCGATTGGAATCACGGCGATCGAATTAGCTGACGGGAAACCACCCTTTCAAGACATGCATCCGACGCGAGCGCTCTTTCAAATCGTACGAAATCCTCCGCCGAATTTGTACAGACCGTCCAACTGGTCGCAAAATTTCAACGACTTTATAACAGAGTACGTTGTTGAATTTCTGTCCAAGTAAGAAATACCTTTTCCCCCCCGTCGATTGTCACTTTCACGTTCACGTTTCCAGATGTCTCGAGAAGAATCCCGAAAATAGGCCGTTCATGGCCGAAATAGCCGAGCATCCCTTCCTAGCGGAATTACCCGAGAACGATTACTTGGTAATATTCGAAACACATTTTCACGGAACGATATCTACGAGTCTAAGAGAGGAAAACTGATAAGAAGCGTGATGTTTCTAGCTAACACAAGAGATCAAAGTATTAATGATGGACGCCTGTGCGAAAGGTAAACTCGACAGGAGGGCGGAAGTGATCGTTCGAAAGGGTTTCCTGAAGGTAACGTCGTTTCGAGCAAACGTCGTGTACAATGTTGTTACTAGATACACACTGCTATCTCTGTTCGATCTAGACCCACCAAACGGATCCTCTGGAACCGATGTTCATGGAAGACCTGGCCGCGCTCGAAACTCTCACGGAGGACGCGGTTTTGGACGAACTGCACGAAAGATTGCGGCAAGGTTACTATCACAGCTTCGTCGGGGATATACTTTTGATATTAAATCCGAACGAACAGCAGGACATCTACGGGTCCGACGTAAGAACGATCGTTTTACAACGCGGACGTACTAAACGATATTACGTTGTTAAATTGAACTGCTGGTTACAGTACCACACCAAGTATCAGTTCAAATCACGGTCGGATAACGCGCCTCACATATACTCCGTGGCTGATAGCGCTTATCAAGATGTGATGCACAACGAGGAGATGCAACATATTCTGCTAGCTGGCGAGAGTAATTCAGGGAAAACGACCAGCATGATGCACATCGTTCGGCATCTCATGTACTTGGGAAAAGTAGGATGGAATTATCGATTGAGCAAGATACGTAAACAGGAAGAACTGAATTCGCCGTTCAACGGAATGTTTCTTCTTTCATTTCAGAGCTTGCAAGACACCGGTGCAAGATTAATGAGAGCGATCAAAGTGATCCACGCGTTCAGCAATGCAGCCACGCCTCTAAACCCTAATTCGACCAGATGCGTGCTGGAAATACAAACCACCTACGGATCTTCCGGGAAAGCCTCCGGTGGCATATTTTGGTTGTACCAGCTAGAGAAATGGCGCGTTTCTACCCGCGACAGGTTAACGTCGAGCTATCCTATTTACACGATTAGAAACACGTAAAATTCGATCTCGAGATTGCGTTGCAACTCTAATCGAAGAACAATTGGACACGGCAAGTTACAGGAAATTCCTTTCTCCACAGGAATCAATCGAATTTCCACGTGTTCTACTACTTCTACGACGGGCTAGATTCCATCAGCAAGTTGAAACAGTATCTATTGCCACCCGGAAGAAGGATGAGGTACCTTAGGATAAGCGAGAAGGGAACGGAGAGGAAGCGATCGTTCAAAGTTCGAAACGATCCACGCGGGAACGTGGTGAAGTTTGACGAGCTGAAGGAAAACTTGAAAATCTTGGAAATGGAGGAGTACTGTGAAACGATTTGGAAATTGCTGGCGGCGGTTTTAACTCTGGGAGAAATTCGTTTCGTGGAGGGTAACAACGGAGAAGCTGACATGGACAACAACGATGCAGCCACTAAAGGTACCGCACATCGACGTTTTCCTCGTGAAAATCGACGGTTATACATTTCTTCGCGTTCCAGTGGCCCAGCTTCTCAATCTAGACGACAAAAAGTTCATGTGGGCATTGCTCAACTACTGCGTAATCAGCAAGGGAACAGTTGTACGCAGAAAGCACAGCTGCGAAGAGGCGAAAGAGGCGAGGGACGTATTGGCTAATACAATTTATCAGCGATTAGTCGACTGGATAGTGAATAATATCAATCAGAAGTTCACAGTAACGCGTGCTTTATTGTGAGTATCGAAGACGAAGGAAATTGTAAGTAGCGAGAGGATACTCTTAAGATTGTCGCGTATTTTTCAGCGGTGACAAGTACGCGATCAACGTGATGGACCTCTTCGGATTCGAGTGCTTCTCGATTAATCGACTCGAGCAGCTGGTGGTGAATACCATGAACGAACAAATGCAGTGTTACTATAACCAACGAGTGTTCGCTTGGGAAATGGTAAGTGTCGAGACAGGATTATCGAGAGAAAGAACTCTCGTTCAACGATAAACTTGATCTTGCAGCAAGAACAAGAAGAGGAGGATATACCTGTTCAACGTTTGCACTTTTACGACAACAAAGATGCGATTGATCAGCTAATGAGCAGAGATAGAGGTTTATTCAGCATCATCGACAACGCGTCGAAAAACATGCTGGATTATCCGTATATAATGAAAAAGATCCAGGAACGATCGGATAATGTTTATATAAAACCGGTGAGTTCTCATGAGTTTACCGTCGCTCATTACACAGGAAAATTGGTTTACGACGCTAGCGAGATCGCCGAGAAGAATCGGGACTTTGTTCCGCCGGAAATGACCGAAACGCTTAGACAATCGAGCATCGAAACCGTGAAGGACATGTTCACGAACAAGCTGACCAAGTCCGGCAATTTGACCATTATCGTCGATCATCCGAAGATCATGGAAAAGAAAACGAACAAGGGAAAGTGGGGCGCTCTTATGCAAGAAACGTCGAAACCAAGGGTGAGGTTGCTTCGTAATATGTATCTATCTATTTTTTAATCTTTCGTAAACGTATAAAAACGAGAAAGTTGCGAGAAAAAAAAGAATAGCAGGAGATTAAAAGAAAATACGAACGGTGTTCTTCCGGAGAGATGGAAGAGGAGGGTTGAAATGTGACAAAATTTCATCACTTCGCGATTGTTATTTTATAAACAGAAGTATAACACCGCATCCCGAGGGCAATACTCCCAGACACGGAAAATGAGAACGTGCGCGGCTACCTTTAAATCCACCAGCCTTGAAATCCTTAAGAACCTTTCGGCAGGTGGCGGAAGTGGTGGTATCCATTTCGTCAGGTGTATAAGGTCGGACCTCGAAGGGGCGCCTCGTGGCTTCTATCGAGACGTCGTCAGGCAACAAATCAGGGCGCTGGCTATTCTGGACAGTGCCAAAGCCAGGCAACGTGGCTATCCCTGTAGAATATCCTTTCAAGAATTTCTTCGAAGGTAACGTTTCTTTGGGTACCTTTTATTCCTTTTGTTGTTTCACGACACGTCGATTAATCGACAATTTTTTCCGTCCATGCAGGTACCAATTCCTAGCGTTCGATTTCGACGAGAACGTCGAAATAACCAAAGACAACTGTCGGTTACTGTTGATTAGATTAAAAATGGAGGGCTGGATGATCGGGAAGACCAAAGTGTTCTTGAAATATTACAACGAGGAATATCTTTCGCGCTTGTACGAGACTCAGGTGAAGAAGATAATAAAGGTTCAGTGTATGATGAGAGCCTTCTTAGCACGCAAAAACATGGTGTCGAAGATCGTATCGAGCACGAAGAAAGAAGTTGGTAGGTACATTGATCGTCAGGAGAAGGGACACGTTAGTGTGCGAGCCAATTTCTCCCCTCTGTTTTCCTCGCTATCTCTGTTTTCTTTTTCTCGATGGGCTCGTACGGTTTTTTATCCATTACGAGAAATTTAACGGGTATTGTTTCAGTGAAGAAAGCGTCTATAAAGAAGAAGGAGTCGGTGGATATGTCGGAGGATCAGGCAGCGATAATGATTCAGAAAGGTAAGGGGCGGATGGAAGATTAATGGTGAAGGGGAAATTTGATTTTTGACGAGCCTGATAGTTTTAGAGGTTTTTCAACGAAAACACTCATTCGAATTTCTCGAGAGTTGATGCCTGATTAAGTAATATTTCACGTGAAAAATAGCGTACAGGGGGCATGTAGTAAGGAAGGAGACGGCGCCTCTGATGGGGAAGGGGAAGATGGATCCGGAGACGATAGACATGATGAAGTTCTACAGCAGCAAATGGAGATCGAAGAGCATGTTCCAAGTCCTCCTACGTTACCGTGCAGCCCGCTATCAAGACCTCGTGCAGTTCTCGCAACAAGTCAGTGATTTCTATTAGAAAGTTATCCTCCTACTTTGCCAACAAGTAACTTCATTTCCTCGATCAGGTGCATCTGTTCAATCAAGCGATAGTATCATCTCTTGCTACGACGAATGACCAAATATCCATAGACAAAGTCAACCCAAACGTTACGGTGTCCGCTTATTTAGGCCAGATGAAACCACCCCAAGTGCACAAGTTACCTTTCAACTTTTATCACGAGTTACCTTTTCCTAGCGCGAAGGGAGGAATGAGAAATCTTGGGTAAGTCCAATTGTCCGTTGATGTTCCTTTTGTTTCGTTTTTTTTTTCTTCTTTTGTTTTGAAAAACAAGATCGATAGAGAAAAACTTAGTACGAAAGAGATCGTTCTAATTAAAGTTGTGTGAGTCGACCCTCATCATTAGACGTCATTCACCATTAATCGCATCGTAATCGTGTGTAGTTTGTCTTCCTAGTCCCCGGTGTTCTTGATCGCGTTCACGTTTCACGAGGCAAAACCTTGAAATTCGACGGAGTTGCCTCGTAATCCGTTTTCCGATGTTTCTCGTTGCTTGTTAACCTTTTTTCTCTCTCTCTCTCTCTCTCTCTCTCTCGCTCACGCGCTTGGTGTGTCTTTTTTTTGTGTGTGCCCGCGCTGTTTTCTCATTATTTTTCGTTCTCCGTTGTGTGCCGTCTCTATCTCGAGGTAAAAGTCGCTTAAGAACTCCTCGGAGATTTGTGCCGTCAACTGAGAAATACGTTCTCGCAGATCCGCGTCGTCATCGGCGTCTGACGATGAGCACGAAGCCTGGGACGCGCCATTACGGAGACAAACGGTGCCTTGGGCCATCAGGAACAGTCGTACCAGAGGTGCCTATCACATTTTGTTTCATCCAAGTTGAGTTGCATCGACACCGATACACTCACTCGTACGGCTTTTTATCAGCGCGAGAACTCTTAATTCATACCTTTTACCGCAACATTTCAAATATATATATATATATCACTCTTCTATCTTTTTGCTCGACCCGAGATCGACGATTGCGCATACAGGGTGAGTCGGATGTGATTTTCATCAATCCGTCCTATCTTCTATATTTGTCGAAAGCAAAATGGTAAAACATTTCACCCGCCGTCACTCTGTGCACGCAGCTCGTCCGACTCGTCGGTACGCTTTCATCAGATTCTCTTTCTCTTTCAGTCGTAATTACGACGTGCGCCCAATTAATCGCATAATTGATAATACTGATCTCGAATCGTCGATAACTGACGATTGTTTCATTATTAAGAGGAGCGTGTTGGGCGTCGAAAGTACGAGAAGAACGTAGAAAAACGAGCACGCACGCACACACACGCGCGCGCGCGCGCGTGCGCAGACACATACGCACGCACGCACGCACGCACGACAAAGAAACGAGAAAATCTCGATTGCCTGAGCCGAGTGGCGACTGTTTTTCTCGGAGAGAACTCACTCTCCATCGGATTGCTCTGCATTTTTCAGACGTCGAGGTTCAAACAACGAACTCGCCACATCGAGTGGCGCATTCAGGCACCGAGGGAGAGAGTTTGATCGACACTCCGTTTTCCAGAGACCCGAATATCTCGGTCCGATGTCCACCCGACGAGACATCCCGAAGCAGGATGGGTAACTCCGGATATCAGCAATCTTCGAGCAACCGTAGCCCCGCACCATCTGCCAACGCTCATAATCCTCGCTCAGTAAGTTCCACCGAGGATCTTAAGCTTATTCGAGCATCTCTTCAACCACGATCCTTCCCCGTCCTTTCTGCTTCCTACGTTCGCCGCGACATTTTGTTACCGTGTATCTTTTCAGAATTACGATAGCACTGGGTCGATACGGTCTACCAAACACGCACCGCCGCCACCAATTCCGTTAAATCAATCACAACCACCCCCGCCGCGTAGTTCTGACAATCACAGCTCGGACGTTCGAAGTAAAAGTAACATAGACAGTGGTAGCCACGATTGGGAGTTCGAGGACAACAGGATTAACAGGAATACCGGCAATGCTAATCGGTTCGATCACGTTACGTAAAAACTCTCCTCTATTAAACAGACACGATGAAATTACTCCTCCTCTTCCCCCCCCCCCCCCCTCTCTCCCTCTCAATCCTATTCAGGAATTGCAAATGATAGGTCGTAGAAATAACAACTACGGCGGCAACGAGGACAACGACGATCCACCGTTCAACTTCCAGGTAAGACCAAGAGAAATTATCGGCGCGTGTGAATCGAGACTAATCGAAACGGCGATGATTTGAAACAGGCTATGTTGAGAAAGACGAGTCATCATAGAGCGTCGATGAAGCGTACTCCCGTCTACGATAGTTACTCTCATTCTCCGTCACCACTGCCAGGCACGGGATACCGTGGGAACCGCGAGAGCGACTCGAACGTCGTATACAGAAGCGGAGGAAGTCGCAGGGATTCCCCAGAATGGAGCCCCAACGAAATGGTGAGAATGTCGGAGAAGTATGGAAAAGAGGGAGCCTGGGGAGAGTCCAGCGGAGGAGCAGGTCGAAGTAACAAGGCCGCGGAGAGTGTGACCGCGGAGATTGCGCCAGGAATTGTCATAGAAGGTTACGTGGCCGAATTGTAAAGAATTCGTGTCGTCGAAGAAGAAACAAACCAGAAGTAAAAACTGGTCCCAGTTGGAAATGTTAATGTCGCGAGAAAAGAAGAAAAAAAAAAAAAAACAAACAAAAAGAAGCAAACAAACAGAGAAGTCTGCAAGATACCTGTAGCTTGTCCCGATGGAAACAAATGCACGACTTGTATGAATTGGTAAGATCGATACCCAATACACCAACGTTGCTGACTCGGGGAGAACTTTTTTTTATCCACGAAATATGTACATAGGTATATTTTTTTAAATGCTTTTCTTCTCTTTTCCTTTTCTCAAAATAGAAGCGAAACACCGCAACGTTTCGTCGACAAAACTTCTTTTGTAATTCCCATTACACGCCTCGAGCGACCGTGAAAGTCGGCACTCTTGTCCAATGTACAATAATTTTCATCGAACGATTCGATTTTCAACGTGTCTGCCTTCTCCAACAGTTAGCAATGCTCCTTACCGACGCGCAGTATTCGATCGTTCATTTTTATATTAGCTATACACACTAGGTCTATTAACGTCGATCGCTGCGATGCGTTTGCGTAACTTCGTATGAAAAGAAACGAAATTAACGAGAGAAAAAAGGACAGAAAAGTTATGACAACGCGCGACTTCTTGAGGGTTTGCGTTTCAATTCAAAACAATGCTTCCGTATCCCTTTAATCGCACGCAACCGATAATCATTTAACGAAAGAATCGAACTATTATCAAAGAAAAAAAAAAAAAAAAAACACGGTGCACCCTGCACGATCGGTTCTGTTGCAAAGCACGAAACTCCCGTCACTTTTGCAAACTACATATTTACAAAAACGTCAACCGACTGATGCACGATTGTGAAGAATATTTTAAAAAAATAAAGAACGAAAAAAGAACGAAACAAATCGATTCCTTATGTACCTGTACCTCGCAACGTAACATTTTTCTTAACAATAAAAATCGTACTCTATCGAACGTCGAAGATTTATTTCTTTCGTATAAAAATTCAGTTAATACAAGAATAAAAATATTCCACGCTGTGCAGCATGATACTGGCCATCGATACCGACTATAACAGCGACATATGCAACGGGTACAACCAGAATATATGTAGATGTGTAAAAGATGAATAAAAAGGGAATGGGCGCTTGTACAAAAATATCGATATTTCATTCGTTCCCTCTGCTCTCGGAGAACCGTTTGCTCCAAAGATACATGCTTATTCCTTGCGTACGCGATCCGTACACTTTCTCGTACAACGTACGCATCAATCTTTCTCAGTCTGAGGATTCTCCTGATTGCTATTCTGCTGAGAATTCTGTTTAATTATATTAACTAAAGTGTCCAACCTAGTTGGATGCGCAATTTGTAAAACCATATGCGCCTCCTCCAAAATTAAGAGACCGTTATGCGCGTCGTTCGCCGAGAGATTGTGCGCCAATATCACATGACTTCTCCATGCCGCATGCGTAGGAAGAACCTGGAAAATACTCGCGTTCAATTCTCTCGTACCTTATCGGACCTGCTTACCTTATCTACGTACCTGCAAACACCATTTGCAATTGAGAGACGGTGAGATCGTGTGAACCGCTTTGATGTGCCTTCGTCGAAAGCCCCAGCTGGTGTACGCTCTGTCGCAGAACGGACACGGGAACGGTGGATAACCCGTGCAAGTTCTCGCAGTCTCTTCCGGAAACTCCGAGTTGGCAGCTGTTCCTGGGCAAATAGGAAAATTGGAACGCAATACTCTTGCGTCCCGTTCCATAGAGAAAATATTCGTGGCTCCCTGTTGTTCGGGCATCGATTCCAAATACGGGTGATTTGGCGAGTGAAGTTCGTTGCTGGATCGTGTGGTGATGTTCCAAGCTGGAGTTTGTTCCAGTCCGATTGGAAATCTCGCGCGGTTTTCTCGCTCTAGCGTCGGTGTAGACGTGTCTCGTGCGTCGGCGATTACGGTTACGTGCGGCTTCGATGATCCTGCAAGTAATTCCAGTCCGCGACTTCAAATTTTCTTCGTTTAGGTATGACTCGACGAGTTTCGTTCTCGTCAACAGAACGAGAGAGCTGGTAGAGGAGCTTTGGGCAAGGATCTTCTCTCTTCGGGGAAACGGACAACAAGACTTCGGATCGTAGGATGAGATGGATTCACGAAACGTTCAATATTCTTTCTTCGTGTGATAGATTCACCTTTTTTTTCTTTTTTCAACGTTTCCTTCTCTTACGACTACAGTATACGTATTCTTGCAGAAAGTTTGTATTCGAACTACGTGTAATCTGTACCTAATTGCGGTATGCGTGTACAGGGAAAATGGAATTACCGGGAAATGACGAGACAATTAAAAATGTAAAATAGGTTTATTTGCAACCAGTCGTGTGTGTTTTGTCTACAATCGTATATAGCTTTTAAATAATAGTCAACTCGAAGCGTTTCATACGTTCGCGAGATCAAAGGATAAAAAAAAAAGAAGAAAAAAAAAAAGAGAAGAAGAAGAACGGAAAGGTGGCAAAGAAACGCGAAAACAGGTTCGTTCTAAATAGAATCGATGGAAAATGTTACGGTGTGCCGTCGATGTACTTAGCTGCGAAATTGATCGCGTGAGGTCTCGTCGCGGCTCGAACGCCTTAAATATTCTAGAAGCATATCTTAATATTACTACTCTCATCGACGTCCTTTAAATGTACGTAATGTTCTTGATAGTGCGCGAGTCGTCGATTATACTCGTCGCACACGTGTGCCGGTAAACGTACTCACACCTACCCGGTCTATCTACGCGCGGTACGGTAATGCGTGTGACGATAGTACATGCCGTGCCCTCGAATGTAAGAAAGACTCCGCGTGTCGTTTCTAGACACAGCGCGGGTTAATTATTAATTACGTGTTATGTAGATCGTCTACGGCGAGAGTGCGTATTTGTGTGAACATCGTAAATGAACAAGAGGAAGGAATGTTACGTTGCACAAGGTACGAGATACAAGGTACAAGGTAGAAAGAGGAATAATAACGGGGAACGATCGAGTTTTCTCGAAAAACAATGCTACGCAACACTGGATTTCGACTAACGAAATGCTGGAAAGGATGAAAAAATTCCTTGATCATTTGCCTCGTGAAAGCAAACGTGAAGCGTATAGATAACTGGACCATGTGTGCCTAGAATGCTTTCCGTTTCCCTACTCCGTTACTATCGTTTCCCTCTGAATGTTCCTGCTGTTTCACCTACGTTACACTCCCCCCATCTCCTAGTGAAGAAGAAAGGATACGGAAACTTGGCGATCCAAGGCGATCCAAGGCGATCCAAGACGATCCTAAATGATCTTGGGCGATCGAAATGACGGACCAGCAAGAGAAAGACTTCATTCTAGCCAGTGAAAACGTTTCCGTTTTACTCCTGACCTGAAACGCCCTAGTCATTGAGTATAGACCGACCGTCTCTGGAACAGATACCTCTTCAAGCCCCTATTGCTAGTATCGATTTTGGTTACGCAATTTTTCCACGTTTCCTCCCATTCCACGCTATTAGGTGCAATACCACTAAAGTGCAACAGAACTTCTCTTATCAAATGTATTTTGTTACTATCGAATTGCTGTTTTCCCATCTTGCCGTTTACGTTACAGAGAATCCTCTCCTCCGGGGTGAAGAGGATCTTCATAAGGTCACAGGCCAAATGATCCATCGGTCGAGAGGATGCCCACGTTGAGATTATCTCCGGACTCGGCAGAAGATCGGCGTAAGGTAGTTGCTGATACGCGTATAGCAGTGGCTTCACGTCCGAGAATCCAGTTAGGCCGGATAACCCAGATAAACCGGAAATGTCTTCAGCAGGGCTGTTCCCAGACCCTGCCACACACATCAGAGCACAGCCTGCTTTAGACACGGATCCCCCTGACGCGTGAATTGCAGCGTACCGAACAATCAAGCAAATTCGACGAGGCTCATTAATGCCGCGTTCAAACGATCGATCGCGTATCATTCCATCGTGTCTCCTCCGTCACGCATGCACAGATTAAATGTACGTGTACACGCGCGGGATAAAACGTCTCTAGATCGTGTTACCAAGTACTGCAAGTCAGGATTGAACGTGTTAAATAGCGTAAATAAAATAATAAACTCTCTCCTATTCACCTTTTTACCTCCAAGCTTCTCCGATCGTATTTTTTTATTTACGCTTTGCCATCCGCACACGCTTCTATCTCCACTATGACTTTGCTCGTAGCGTCGAACCAAATGAAAAGAAACACGTGCCACACCAATATGGATAAAGCAGAAGTAACGATCAAAGCTAACTCAACGATTTGACAAAGCATCCGGAAACAAAGTCGAACGAAAGAATTGAACGTTTGATAATTGCCGATGCTAAATTTAAATGTCTTCGCTGACACACATGACGATGAATTTCTCTGTATGATGTTACTTCGAAAAGGAGTATGTGCCTAAATGGAATAAAATTTTTTATTCAGCCAAACTATAAATCCAATGATAAACCCTGACGCAGATTTTCTAATACTAACCACGGTGAAACGATTTGTATCGATTGTTTCGTTAAACAACATATACCCAATAAAATGTGATGAAAAATCATTTCCCTTTTCTTGTACGTATCTTATCAAATGTTTAGACATAACAGATAGGGTTAAAGACACAAGATATAGTGTGATACTAAAAAGTACACATATAAATATAACATAAATTATGAGCAAACTATGCAAAATAAATGTAACATGTTCTATAAATGACGTGCCAATGCCTAACCATGTCCTATTATTGTTTGTAAAGCAATGTAGTAATTTTACATGTACCAACCTTGATTTCCGTCGACCTGCCCTGTGTCCAACCTTTCTACAGGATCTTTGTCTGTTGTAGATTGTTTCTGAGACTCTTCTAGAGCTGCCTCTAATGGTTCTATCTGAAATACAATTGATTAAACTTTACACCGCAAGTCCTATTTACCAATTTTTCATACTTTTGCAAACATATGCAACTAACCTTCATTTCTAAACGATGATAGACCGGATTGGGTATACTTGACTGCAACAGATAATCTTCTTTACCTCCTTGTTCACTGGTTGTAGATTCATCGTTGCTTTCCAACTGTGACAGTTTAGGTGTCAATGCTCTTTCTAATATAGAATTTTGATGCTTGTTCAACTTTTGTTTCTTTCTTGGTGTTTCTTCTTTTGCAGTAGTCGTTCCTTCCTCTACCGCTTGTTCTAACTCTGCTAATCTTTTGTAAGATTCCTTAGCAAATATATCTCCCCCGGAAAGTCCACGAATTTGCAAAGTCTCTGCAGCTTTCAACAAGGCTGGCAAATTTTTTTGCTCTATATTTACTTCTCCTTTATATATAAATATAAGTAAAGCTTCTAATTCGCTAAAGTGTACGTCTTGCAGTATTATAACTGGATGTTGACAAGGATTTGTCTGTAATGCAAGAGAAAACCAAAGAATACTTCTCATTAACGAATACTACAAACACTGACAACAGCTGAATGACAATTAACGCGAAATTTCAAGTACGACACGTATCCTTCAAAACAGGCTAACCTCCAGCACTGTGCAATCTCTATCGAAACTATTGTTTCGTTAGACTTGATCGATCGACGAAATAAAGAAGCAACTTCACACGACAAACAAACAACTGTCAAAATATCAACGAAATCGCACACGTAGAACAAACAATAGGGAAAACTAACCTGGAAAACCTTCTTGAAGAAAGGACTACTAGCTGAGAGGATCACTTTGTGAGCTGTGAGACACTGGCCATCACTTGCCAATGTCACGTCTACTAAACCTTCTTCCTCCCAAAGACTTTCGAAACTAGTTGCGATGTTGTTTAAAAAACTGTTCCATTTTAGACATATTTGATTTGACATCTCGCAAACAGAAAGTGTCTAATCTGTCAAAATGTAATCACCGCGTCGCGAACCGTTCGACACCTTCGCGCGTTAATGACAATTACGATTCAACGACAGCAACAACGTCGACAACGACAACGACAACGACAACGACAACGATGACGACGGCAGCGACCGCGATGTAACAGCAATCGTGCCAGGCACGCACAAACATCCTTGGTGCTGGGTTGGGAGTACATAGTCAATATGGCCGCCGCTCTCTGTAGAATTGCGCGCGACCTTAGAAACCTTCGTCCAAACGCTGCGCGTTGAATTTTCTATTGTTTATTTGCATTTCGGAGAGACACGGTGAATAAAATCGAGAGACTAGACGAGGCTGCTGTTTGTTTTCCCCACCTCTTGTACAGAAACGCTGATTTTAAAAATGACCTTTTACAAATTGCACAACGCATCGAAAAAATATCCGAATTCATTCTCTACGCGCAACTATAGGGTTTAAACTTGTTGTTTATTCAGGTTATCGGAGAGAAATGCGTAAAGAATTAAGCAAGTAATTTTTCAATATAACAAAATAATATTATGAAAGCCAATAATGAAGAGTGCGTGCTTGCATTGTTGCGTGCATACACTCAAGTATACAGGTGTCGTACACGACCGTCAATCCTACGTGTTTGCGTATGCATGTGTATACGTACGTGCTTACGTACACGTGCCTGCGTGCATTCTCGCGTGCCTATATGCTTGCGTGAGTTCGGATCCCGTAACAGTATTCCATAATTATTGTCAGAGTTCTATCTTTGCGTCTCCAACACAAATGTATGCTAAAGAATAACGCAGGTAAAAGGATTACTGCACGGTGTAAAAAATGACTTTCTTAAGTTTTTCTAAATTAACGATTACAAATTTTCTAACACTTTTCCACGTAAAATATTTGCTGCCACGTTGTAGAATGCACAATAGAATGCAAGTGACAACCTTAACTAGATCGATTTCATAAAGATGAAATCGATCGATTCCACGCTATTTTCGTTACTTTTGAAAAATACAGATCGTTCGCCAGGGCTCGAACAATTCCATTGTTAAAAGAACCTTTGGGAATAGAATTACCTGTATTTCTCTAAAAACAAACTCGTTATTCCGAACTCTCCGTCGTAAAGTTTGAAAAGACTCGAGGAGGTGCATGTAGGGTGTACTTAGGGGCGGGAAATAAGGTACGAAAGGCAGGTAGTACACTGGCAAGTTTCTCCGTATCGCAAACACATTAGTCGGTTACGAATATTACATACAGCAACGGATAAGTTAAAAGAAAAAAGCTGACTTGCTCAATATTCATCTCTTTCTTCACAAGCAACTGTTCTATTTAAAAAAAAAAGGAATACAACTCGGTTTGATTTAATAAGTCTGATAAGTGAACGGGTACGAGTATCGCTCGATAAGATAATGATAAAAGAAAAGTACGAACGATTATCGGTAACGTTGAAACGTTGAAAATAACGTTAAAAAAAGGTTCACAGATGTCTCGGATCGGATCAACCCGTCTAATAATAAACGGGCAAGGTATCGAGGGGGAGCGAATTGACCTGAAAGCGAAGGAGTATAACAAAACGTTACGGCGAAGACTTGTCGGAAGGGATAATCACCCCTTGTATACCTTTCGAGCTTCGACATGAAATTTCTCCTACCCCAAACAGGCCACTCGACCAATCAGGATATAGTACGGTGGTGTTTAGCTCCCATACAAATAACACCGCGCTAATTTTCCGCTTCATTTAGGGTTTCTCAGGTGCAGCAATCACCGCGGTGTCTGAATAGAGGATTCATATCGATGGGTTTTTTCTGCGGACGGTGACGTGTGTAGCGATAGTACGAGTACAGTGTCTCAGCAATCATGCCGAAAGAAAATAAAAGTACAAGCAGAAGAAACAGATGTCAGTGTTTCGAAGACGACAACGTAAGTACTGTATATTCTCGTTTGAGAAGAAAGGGAGAAAGTAGGGGGATAAAGCTGAATGGAAGTTTAAAGATCTGGCGTTGAAGGTAATTTTGTAACGATAATGGCATACGTGTGTAGTTACATTTTCTCCACGAATCAGATAGAGAAAGCTCCCTGTAATTCGAGTATCTATCGTTTGAAGCATTATGGTAGCAACATCTGGTATAGGGTGACGTCACCGTATAGATAAACCGATGTTAATTACGTTGGAAATTATCTGAATTAATAATATTTACATAACGATAAATTCCCTTGGGTGTTCGACGAAACATCAAATTTTGACAAGATTATCTCGCGCAAAGTTCGAGAGAAATTTACGAATTGTATTTCATCAGGCGACAGATTTGTAATACGCGTGTACGCTTTAACGGTCAACATTTTTGACTTTTCTACTCAGAATGCAACAGCGGTTCTTCGATGCTTGACAAGTGTTTCTTTATATTGCTCGCGCTATTGTACACTCGCGTATTTCAGATCAATCGCGAGTAACAGAGTTTTCACAGTTGTTGTTAATTCCACAGGAAATTGCATCGAACACACGAGCACCGGTGAAGCCAGTGGTCAGAAGCAATCGCTACAGTCCGTTCCCTCGAAAAGAACCAAGAAAAGATTCGACGAGAGAAAACATGACGGTGCCAAGGATGAAGGCTCTCAACACCGTAAGCGGTGGAATCATCGAAAATGGTATCAAATACATCATGTTGCCGTTGCACCTTTTGCGCTTTTGTATATTTGGCACGAGTTCTTCAGAGTCCGGTGAACGCACTGAAACGAAACAGCAGACAGAATCGCGCGACAAAAAGCAGGAGAAAAGAGACGGGGAAGAAAGAAAGACGGAGAAAGAAGGAAGAGAAGAGAGGAGAACGGTGAACGAGACTCGGAACAACTGCTGTAGGTCTTCGAAAGAGTTTGTAAGTTCCAAGTCCACTGATGCGTCGTCCCGCGAAGAAACATCGAAGAAGGCGAAGGAAGAATCCAGCGACGAAATGGTGACAGCCGAGGAGGATTCTGACTCTTCTGGCGAACAATGGAGCACTGCGCGCAGTACTATGCCAATGAATATGTCGATAGACTACACGGTCTTCGAGGAACCTATGGACATATCGATCGATGAACAAGTGATAAAGATATCGCGAGATAGTCGAGCGGTCGAAAACAAAGCCACTGGATGTGTATCTTCGAGATCGAGCAATTCCTCCGTGGATGAAGAAATCGCGCGTATTTTTCAAAAACAATGCACTTCATCCGAAGATGAATTTCCTACTTGTTCGTTCTCCAAGTCTTTCTCCTCGCGCAGACACGAGAAACCGAAACGTACTAATTTTCTTTACGATACAATTAAAAGAAAGGATTGCCCGGTTGTTACACGATCGAATAAAATATATCAAGGTGGCAACGAGAAAGAACGAAAGAAGAAAACGACAACCGAGTTTGTTGCTAACAATAAGAGACGAAAAGTGGCCGACGACGAAGACAGAAACGAGAAGCAAACCGAACGGAAAAAGGAAAATAAGCCACAAGAAGAAAAACGCAGTTCTCAACAACGCGGTACCCCGAGTAAATCTAAACCGCGTTCGTCGAGAACACCGGTGAAAAATAAGGAGTCGAAGCGGAAGGTGATCAGGTTTAAAGAAACGGCTACGCAAACGGATAGCGCCTTTTCTGACGACGATGTCGAAATGGTTCCAGTCGACGCGAAATTGTCCGAGAGACAATTTTGCTGCAAATATGCAGCGCGCAAGCTCTATCTCTTCCACGTAAGTTCGTAATCTGTTTATATTTGACTTTAGTCACTCTACCGCGTTAACCAATACTTCTTTCTACATACCGTTCGTTCCTGTTCACAGGGAAAAGAGATGGAGCACGAGTTGAATTATGTGGCGGATAACGAAGATTCGAACGACGGATTTTTAAGAATCGCAGACAAACGAATTTCATCACGCAGCACGTCTTCCTCCTCGGCGGATCTTGGTTTCGACGAACGTGTATCTGCGACCCCAGATACCGATATCACAGTGAGACAGAGATCGTATACAAACTCACCGAAATGTGCGAGTACTCTTCGATCATGCATTCGTGCTCCACCAGGTTTTCCAAAAGTACCGCAGAATCCACCACTGACCTCTTACATTTGCAACGATAACAAACGGGTTATTTTATCGTCTTCGAATGAAAACGATCCGAACTTTTCCCAGGTCAAAACATTGGCGATCGTACCACCAGCGCCCTCACCTATGCCACACCTATACTATAATTACCCAGAATTCATGGACCTCCCTATTAGTGTTAACTCTTCGAAAATTTTAAGTAATATTTTTAGGAACAACTATTACCGGTGATGTATCGTTGTGATCGAACAAAGTATGCGGTGAACTTTTATATATACTTTTGTACTTGTAGAAAAAACGAATGTGCAATAAATATTCAGTTTTGGAAAAATTGGTGATTTATTTTTAAAATACTTATTAAAAATATGTACAACGTGTATAAAGCGACAATTTAAAGAATTATCTTACGGCGTAGGCATAAATGACAAATTCATCGGCGATAACTGACTTCCCGGCGTAGTATCTGCCCTTTCTCCTTGTTCTATAACGGGATCCGTTTCGTTCATATCTTCTACCTGCGATTAACGTAACATTCAACATTTCTTAACATCTTTCGACACGAACCTACGAGAATGTTTCATAATTACCACCATCGATGTTTCTTCCACTTTTACTCTCTTCTGAGCAATTGTTCTTAACAACGCCTTAGCTTCTTCTTTTGTTTCGTCAAATTGCAAACACTTTTGAGCATAATGATTAGCCTGATCTAACTGTCCTTGCTTTAAATGATACTGTGTTAAATACTTGTACGCGTGACTCAAATCGGTTCTATCCGCGTTTCTAAACTCGTCCATCACAAAATCTGTATAAGCTGCTGCTGCATGATCGTGCTCGCCTAACTTTTCGTACAACCTGTAGTAGATTGGAAAATACGTTTAATCCTAATGATCACACTTCGAAAAACGTCGAATTTTATTACGTACGTGGCAAGCTTTAACAATGCCATTCCTTCGATATCACCGACATTGCATGCTTTGTAGTAACATTTTAACGCGTCCTGTATTTTGTCTTGTTTCTCGTATGCTTCTCCTAAAGCTAGCACCATCCTACTGTCGTGCGGCCTTAATAGTTGAGCTTGTTTGTAATAGTAAAGTGCGTAGAATGGCATTTTCAAAATTTCATATGTTTGACCCAAACCATACCATGCTCTGTAATCCCGTTTATTCACCTCTACATAAAAAAAATTCCCAAATAGACAGATGCTCGTGTTTAATTTTACATAAACATCTAATATATACCAATAGCTTGTCGGTAACTATGAATAGCACCATTGGTATTTTTCATTTCCATGAACTCATGACCAAGCAACGTCCAGGCTGAAAGATACTGTGGATTTAATTTTAATGCTCTATGAAAATACATCACTGCTTTTTGATGGTCTCCTCTTAAACTATAGTAATTCCCTAAAGAATGTCACTTCTATTAAATAGGAAAATAATAAATCTTTGTTCCTTTTGCTTCAATGTACAACTAAAGTCTAACTTACCTACAATGCAACATGTTTCTAATCTATATTTATCTATTTCTGTTGCTCTATGAGCCAAGTATGCTAGTTCAACTTTCATTTCTTTCACATAGAGCAAATTAGAGTATGTATCCATATTATCTAGACAATATGGATCTTCCTTTATTATCCTTTTAAATGTTTCTAAAGCATTATCAACATCTGTAATGAAGATATCGTAGATTAATAGAACCTAGTGGGTACAATGTTCTGGTTGGTGATTCTTTTGAAATGTTCTCTTGCCTCTTCTGTAATGTACTGCAATTGCAATTTGAGCAAGTACATAACCATTTTTTTCAAACCCCATTGATTGCAATTCACAATATAGTGCTAAACCTTCGTCGATTAACTGTAGTTCTAAATACATATGAGCCATAAAAAAGTGCTTCATCCAGTGATTAGGTAAACATAGACATTCCAGCTTTTCTCTATCATTGATTAAAGAAGCTAATTCTAACCAAGATCCCCAATGCATCGGTTGTTTATGCGTTGCCTCTACCAACACATCCATGGCTTCTCTAGTAAGTTGCAATTTTTTTAGAGTTACACCAAACAGATAAAGCCCAAAACCATCAAGTTTATCCGCCAAGTGATCCTTTCTCAAATCAGCACATAATAACTTTAAGCTCTCATTTTTCAAAGGATCTGGAGGCACCACTGTCATATCATCAATTTTTTTCTTCTCGCCTGATAAATAGCGAGAATATAAATATAAGAATCTAACTTTTGGTGTTTTGCATTGTTCCGTAAAATAAGCCGCCCTGTCATACTCTTTCAAATCGAAATAAGTTTTTGCCAAAATATACGTATCCTCCTCTTCGCTTGTATCCGCTATGTACAAGTCGGTGGTAATGTCATGAGTATTTAGTTTGACATCTTTCAAAGAATAACTCAATTCTGCTAACCTGCAAGAAAAATATCTTTCCTATTCCTTTGCGAAATAACAAAATAGCTGTTTTGTTGGATTTTACTCCAGAAACCATACACACCATTTCGTAGTATGTAATAATCCACGTTGAGAACATTCATTTATCGCGCGCAAAAGGTCGGTTTTAACCTCTTTAATATCAAACTTTACAAATTCCTCCATGTTTTAGATATTCCATTAAATTGTATCTAAAGCGGGAATCACCGAAATTAATTAAATTAAATTACTTTACGCATTTTTAATAACGAAACTGATATTTATACGAATTAAATTAACAGACAGTCCGAAAAAAATAGTATGCACTTGATTTTTTGCCGCCATCTATATACTACAGACAAAATGTTAACCTCCAATTTCATCTTCAAGCTTTTACGCAGGACGATCTATTCTTTGATTTAAGAATGTTGTCGGTGTATTTTTGCGTATCAGAGATTCAGTATTAAAAAATAAATAAACACATATATTTAACAAGAAACAACACAAATTTAGAATTATAACAATGTCCTATTGTTTAATTTCATGGGTAATGTGGTTAATTATTCGTATTACGTATACTGTATGTGCCATTGTTTAATTTCGAATATACATATAAATCTGATTCGTACAATTTGTCGTAAACTATTAAATAAATTGAATGCGTGCAAGTGTATCATTAATACATGTTACTTATGGCCGATAAAACCGAATTTCAGCACAAGTTCTATGGCTAAGCGGGAATATTTAAAATATCCATTTTATAGGGTGCCAATTCTCATGGACAGCTTGGACAAGGAATTCAGTCGGAAGAATGCGTTTTGCCTCGCGAAGTTAATTTATCAAAGTGTTCATTAGAGCCGCAGAAGATAAATAAAATTGTCGGTGGTGCTGGTCATACATTAATTTTAGACAATTACGGTCGCGTTTATTCCTGCGGTTGGAACAATAAAGGCCAAGCGGGTTTTCCAGTGAAAGAGAACGTTCTTTCTTTTCGAAAATTAAATGGAAAACTGAAAGGCAAGGTAGTTATAGACGTAGCATGCGGCTGGGATTGGTCTGCAGCACTAACAATAGAAGGCACCTTATTTCTTTGGGGCTCGAATTGTTTCGGACAATTGGGCGAACACCCAAGTAAGCTCCAATGGACGTACGAGCCTTTTGAGGTTGTAATTGATCGAAAAATCAAAGGAGTTTCCATTGGTTTAAGACACACTGCCCTACTAACAGAGGATCATAAAATTTTAGTAGCCGGTGCAGGTAACAAAGGACAATTAGGTCTAAGCTCTCTCGGGAATGACAAATTTTTAAATGCCGTTTACACTTTCACAGAAGGTAAACATTAAAAAAAAACTAAAGCTGTTTCTCAGTAATGCGAATAAAGATTATTTCGTTGTCGTTTTAAACAGTTTCAACTCTAACAAACATAGAAGATGTTAGTTGCGGTCAACATCATACAATCGTGGTAACGAAAGACAGGGATCTTTACGCGTTTGGTGATAATAAACACGGCCAATTGGGGTTAGATACGGATGCAATTTCGAGGACATCTTTTCCAATCAAATTATCGAATCTTCATTTTAAATTGCCGATTAAGATACATAGTGGCTGGTCCCACGTGATTGCTTTAAATGGTAATTCGATATACTAACACCCATTATCTAAATAGTGCGTGTTTGAAAATTGATTATTTTATTATTAGATGGTCAGATTTATGGTTGGGGTCGAAATACGTACGGACAATTAGGTATTATAGATTTCGAGAGGCCATCAATCTGGAAAGCTGTACAAATAGAAAATCTATCGAAAGTTCGTCAAATTTCTGTCGGATCAGAACATAATGTTGCTTTAACCGGTATTTAACCAACAATTTATTTAAAAGAGAAGAACAATTTTTATTCGCGATATGTAGCATATTATCTTTTACAATGTTACAGAAAATGGAAAACTTTTCTGTTGGGGTTGGAACGAACACGGAAATTGCGGAAATGGTAATACAAAAGACGTTCAATTTCCAGAACAGGTTTTACTTTCCTACGATTATACGGGAATACTCGTCGGAACTGGCGCGGGTCATTCATTTGCTGTAATAAAAAAATCTTGAACAATCTGTAAATTTAATGTGTAAATATATATATATACATATATTTTTTGCACTTTTTGCAGTCTCTTTCTATAGACATATCCTTACACATATTCGTATAAAGTAGACGTATATACATTTTTTTTTTTAATACTGCTTAAAAAACGGTCAGTTTATTCAAATACAAAATAAAACGAACAAATTCGTCAGTTATACTGAAGAGAGTATAGTCGAAAATCGACCTCACCTGTGGTCATAATGTATGTATGCACCACCACCTGCCAACAGTAAACTATCAGCAGGGTGTTCACGCGGACGTAACGATAGAGACACGTTCGCTTTATACGAAGATCGATTTAGTTTAAATAAAAAAACAAAAAGTTGCGAAACTACATACGACAAAATGTTACGTTCAAGATCCCAAAGCAGCGTCTGGTACATATTTTCAACTATTCATATTTGCGGAAGATTTGAATTTGCATGAAAAATGTCTACTCTATACTTTCTGAATTTTATTGATCAGGGAACAAGAAGCAAAGTTTGTGCAAGATCGAATATCGAACGTAGAGAAACATTTTGCGGAATTATGCACAACATTTGCAGTATATACAAGAAAAGCGGCAAGGTTTGTACATAACAACCGCTGTTGTAGCACTCACATATAATATCGATTATTTCTTTTATTTCTCAAGGTTTTTATACGAAGACTTATACACACAATATACTTTCAGATTACGCGATAAAGGAGATGAAGTAGCGAAAGTAATCCAAACTTACGCTCAATCAGAAACCATAAATCGATCTCTTTCCACCGGACTGACAAACTTTTCTCAGACTTTATCGGTGATTAGCGACTACAGGTATGCGTTTATTCGTTCGTGAAAAAATATGGGACAAGTAGGATTTACAATTGCTATTTTTATTCTGTACAATTAGAGATGCCGAAGTGCAGAGATTTGACGCCAAAATAATTGCTCCCCTTTCTCAATACGCGACAATTTGTAAACACGCCCGTGATGATGTGAAAAATACATTTACAGCACGAGATAAAGAATTAACGAGAAAAAGACATCTAGATAGGCTCAGAGAGCGAAATCCTAGAAATAGACAGATGATCGTATCCTTATATTTAAAAAATTCAATCTACTTTTGCAATTATACTAACACAGAATTAAAAAAAAAGAAACTATTTTACATTCTTAAAAATCGATTTAGTCACAAGCCGAATCCGAGCTAATGAAAGCTTCTGTTGAAGTTTCAAGAGTTGTAAAAGGTTTAGAAGAACAGATCGATTCGTTCGAGAAGCGGAAATTACGTGATCTAAAGTCTATACTTTTGGATTTTGTTGTTATCGAATTAAGTTTTCATGCAAAAACTATTGAATTATTGACGAAAGCTTATCAAGATATCGCTGAGATCGACGAAGTTGACGATTTAGGGGTAGGTTACTCTTTATTCAAAAATATCTTACTTTACGTTAATATAAAAAATATATGGAATGTTTGCATGTATTCACGCGTTATGCCAGATATATCGTACAATTGCATAAGTACCTCCGAATTGGTGTTATCTTAATGTTTTCTCACAGGACTTTCAAAGAATAAGAGGGAACATGAATGGGGTAAATTTTTAGAACAGTTGTGTCCATTTTATATTAATCTATCATACGAAATCATCAGAATAAGTATCCGTATATATTTTTTTATTTAAATTAATCAAACTAATGATCAACTTTAGGAATTTCGCAAAGTGATGCATGTCCCCGATTCTGTTGCGAGATTAACTACCGTTGGACGAACTTCGTTCAGACAAGCTTATTCTCTTACCAATTTGGCTAGTCGTTTCACATCTTCCCCCATGATTTCGCAGAAATTAGCTAATCGTAGAACTGAATCCACGGTAAGTTAACAATGGAATACGGCCAATTGCAATACCATTGCGCTAATAAACATGCATACATTTTTATAGGATTCTGCAAAATCCAGTCTGAAAACAAACTCTTCAGAGTCTGTACAAATAGAGGAATATAATAGAGACAGTACAGAAGAATCAGAATCTGAATCTATTAAAGACAAACCTGTGAGAACTAGGCATAAATCTATGTAACTGTGAATAACGTGTTTCCTTTAAAATATTTTGTACAATTATAGATTGAACTACAAACTAATTCTGGACATGAGGATTCTACAAGGTTTATTTTTAAAACAATACCATCAGTTCCTTCATACCAGAAGTTTTTAACATTGCCTATGATCATGAAATAAGGTTAATCTAGTAATATTTGCGTGTTAATGAAGTGTATCTTG